CCCAAACCACCGGATAACCCCCTCGCAGGCCAGTGGGGGGAGGGAGTCCTGGGAGTTGAAGTCCACACATCTCAAAGTTGCTAAGGTTGAGCAACACTGGCTTAGATCTAGATCAGAGTTCCCCAAAGTGATCATTATCGACTCCCAAGGGTCAATGGGACTATTCGAGGGGTTGTTATTATTATTCATAGTACTGTTAGTTAATGTAGTATTTATAAAGTTATTTTCATATGATAAATATCTGGGAGTCAATGAAGCATCTGAAACTTCAGGAAGGTGTTGATGAGCTGAAGAGTTTGGAGACCCCTGATCTAGACCCTTAGGAGAAACTCCTGTTTGTTGACTTAAATGTTACAGAATGCAGCCCATAAACGATACCTTTAATTATATTGGCTCTCGTGCAGATGGTCAGTCTGATGTTGAATCTCCCTTCTCTTTCGTAGATCTCTTTCTTGGGCGGGCTGTGTTTCAACGAAGGTGTAAATTGGTTAATCAAGAACATTGTCCAGGAGCAGAGGCCTTGCGCAGGTAGAGTATTGCTGGTGGGAGAAGTCATTGCCAGTTGTACAGTGTTTGTGGGTGCCAATAACGTGGTCTCGTGGTGTCTGCTAGAAGCCACGATGACATCAAAATGAGAGCCCGTGTGGTTGGTGTGACATCATCACACAACGATGTGAATTACATTCATTAAAGTGGACCATCTGCAGAATGAAACAAGGGTGTCTTTTCTGCAGGGCAGAATGTCCCAAGAGTGTCATTTGTACAAGGATGCTGCACTGTGTGTGTGGTCATTTTTCCCCATGGACATGTTTGGTCCATTGCAGTTGATTTGAGAATTGTCCTGCGCTTTTGATTAGAGAAAAGACACTATCTGCATTTATTGGTGACTGGAAACCTCTTATGGACTTTCTGCATTATGGACTTTGAGGATTAGGCAGGATAGATTATAGGAAGAAGAGAATTATGATGTTTTGCTTTGTTTCTTGAGCCCTAATCCTGATCGTCGTGATATTTTACTGAATTTGAGCGAATAGTTTTCATTTTAAGTTTGCCTTTAAAAGGCCAGCTGAGACACTGCTAAAGATCTGTTATGTTTGTGCATATTCAAATCTTAATTCAACTTTTTTGTTCTGCTAAGTTATCCCCTAATTTGTAGGGAAAATAGGAGGTATTTATAAATGATATAAGAGTATTAGGTATGTTCACCGCCTTGAGTTGACCAAAATATATAAAAAAGATGGGATAAAAATAGAATAAGAATGACAATGGTGATGATGATGATGTTGACATTCCCTTAATAAAGCCTTAATAAACCCTTAATAAAGTTTTAGTTCAGGTAGATTCAGCACATGATGGCTTTATGTTTTGTATAATGCAAGGTTTCCTTTCAAGCCATAATTCCCCAGATGGGGGAGGGAAGGAGGGAGGAAGGAAGGAAGGAAGGAAGGAAAGGATGAGGGAGGGAGGGGGGAAGGAAGGAAGGAAGGAAGGGAAGGAAGGAAGGAAGGAAGGAAGGAAGG